AAGTTTTGCCAGGGTGCTTGCTGGAGCGCTGCCGGTGATGATGGGTCGAGAAGTAGAAGTCGGAGTTGGGTACATCAGAGAGCAGCTCATGGATGGCGGGTACATCGCCAAGATGAACCAGATCACCATTCTCATCGTGAAGGTCTTCAAATTGGATAAGCAGGAATGGTTTCTCCACAAGGTTTTGGGAGTATATCAAGTTAAGGAAAGCTGAAGAGGACTAATAATCTCTCGTACAAGTGTCATAAATCATCCAGGAGTAAGTCTCGACCCAGCATAGATTTTGTGATTTTGAGGACTTCCATTGACTCTGGAGTGACCTGAAGAGAGGAGATGAATCCGTAGCCTGGTGTCGACACCACTACAGACTTCGTAGCATGGTGTCGACACCAATACAAACTTCGTAGCATGGTGTCGACACCAGTGCAACCTTCGTAGCCTCATTTTCTCACCTTGGTGTCGGTACCTTTACAGACGTCGTAGCATGGTGTATGGGGCGTTCGCGACTCAAAAAACATCAGATGATTGGGGGAGAAGACTGTAAGTATGACACCTCTCTGTGCACTATCATGACTGTCCCATCTTGAATAGCATATGCTTTATGGCATAAAATCCCAATCTCAGCCTGTCCCCATTCGTCATTCCAGAGATTATATCTCTGATTACCCTGCTTGTAGTCTGTACTGTCCTCTTGCTCACACCGAGCTCCTTGGCGCGTGCCTGCACCCTGTCTGGCCACTTTGCCATCAATGCTTCCTCAAAAGCCGGAACCAGTCGTCCGTCGGCTTGAAAGATAAGCCATGCTCGGCAGTGCTTTCAAATAATGAGGTCAATACACGGCAGACACGGATATTGGTTGAAGACCACGGGAGTACCTTTGTAGTGCGTAACTTTTTGAGTGCATCACCCGTAATGGGGAGGTTCACTAGAGCCTTCTTGACTTTCTTGAACATGCGCCAGCGCTGATGTGGTTTCGCTGCTTTAAATCTGTCTGCGTGTGCTTCCAACACTTGAAGGATGTTGACGGGCAGCTTTATCTCTACTCGCCCTTGGATGCCGTGACCTTCTACTGCAAGACTGATGGTGTTCGTGTTGGTGTCGCTCATGAAGGTTGGGAGGAAATTTTCGGGCCACGTGGCTGATGAGCATGTTGTCATGGCTCGGACTTTGAATGGCGGCCCGAGCCCGGCCCTTAGACGACGAAGGGGAAGCACGTGTGATGTGTGTGCTAACTTTGGTGGCCCAATTACATGGGTGCAACCCAAGCGGTGGACACGGTGGCCATGATTACAGTGCACAACAAATGCACAAAGAGGAATAACAATCAGTGTACATATCTGTTCACGAAGACATATGTTTCTCCCATCCACTAATTGCGCTCTGGTGCCTCCATTCACCATTCGGTGACCTACTCCAAATCTCGCACAAGTTGCGCTCTTCCACAGCGGCAGGATTTCCTGGACTACCACCTGAAAATGTCATTCATGAGGTGAGTGTAGAGGATGATTCCAAGGCCAGAGAGACGTACCAAATTTACATGCTACCAACGCAGGGCACGAAGTTGCCAGCATTGACACCCAACCCCGCTCCTTCTCCATCTCTCGTTCCGATAGGACCCAACTCTCCTTCAAACCCCAGTGCACGTGGTGGAACCCAAAGACAGCGATGTTCTGCAAACCCGCCATCAGGGAACACACAACGCGCATATCGCCTTCCTCGTCATCAGGTTGCGTCCAGCCATTGATGCGGGGGCACTGAACCCGCCCAACTGAGTCCAAGCTGAGCTTGACGAGCGAAGGGCAGGCTGCAATGATGGACTGGAGGACGTGAGCGTCTTCTGCCTTTGCTTCCACAGCATAGGGGATGAGGGTGAGATTGAGCACAGTGAGGGTGGAAAGGCCAAGCCGTGCGATGTCGAGAAAAAGACGACACGTTCCTTCGGAGTCATCATGAGGACGGACTGCTAAGGAGCAGGATGTAAAGGAAGACAAGTTGGGCACTGATTCGATGTGGCCCAAGTGCTTGTCCTTATAGACTCTCAACTCTGGAAAATGAATGCGAGCATCGTTCCCAGCTGGTGTTTCCAGTTCCTCTCTATTGATGCGGATGGTGGTCAGAGTAGAGGCATTGGCGGCGATGAAAGGACGGCATCCCATCCAATATTCGAAGGAGACCTCGCGTAAAACTTTGAGAGAAATGATGGGAAGAAAAGCCGTGTGTGAGATCTTTGAGGTCGCCCAGACCCCAGAGGGCATAAGACAGAGATAAAGCTTTTGAAGCTCTGTGCAAGCCGTAACTAGCTTGATGATATTGGCTGATACTTGACGAACCTCCCCTTCAGTGCTCGCTGTATGTCTTCAAAGAGGAAATCAATACGAGCAACTCAAAGACAATCATGTGTGCATACGCACTGGATGACAAGGGAGTGGACCATTTTCCATGAATTGAACGCAAGCGGTACCTCTGTTGAAAGAACCGCCCTGTGCAGCTGGGGGCTGTGCCGTCTTAATAACATCCCATTTATCGACACCTGGTGATACAGCGTTTCGCGCGTGGCAAAATACCACGCCTGCAACTCCGTACACTTTGGGCCAATCGAGTATATGATGGCCAGCAGACAGCGCCGAGGATTCTGTCCGCGGTCGAACACGAAGAGGCGGTCCGTAATTTTCCTCACGATCTCGAGAGGAAATGTGGTAGGGGGTCGAGTAAAGTTCTTCGACATAGTAGCCCTGATAGCTTTGCACTCGTCGGTGGTCATGACAGCTGAGCTTACATTAATGATGAAACCTTCATGGACTGTGGACATGAGCTCTGACGAACCTGGGATGATGGCGGTTGAAGAACAGCGTGTGTTGAGGGATGGGGTCTTCCGATGTTGCACTCTTCTACGTGTTGAAGCGAAATGACGTCAGGAGACATGTGGGTACAGGGGAGCACGTTTAGGGCAGGCCTTCCTTCCACCTTCATGTTCGCGGGGACGCGGTGTGTACACAGGTGAGTGATCTTCAAACTGGCATATCCCTATATGCTAGCTGCGCAGGCAGGGACATCTCTCTATGATTGAGAACGACTTGTGTTGTGCACTATTGCCTACCGACATGTAAAACAATCGTACAACGTCATTGGGTGCCATTAGAGCCAGCAATGGCGTTGTACAACGTTGATTTGCCGGCTCTCCACATCCAGAATTCGGGCTATATCTAGAGCGAAGGTGAGCATCACCAATCACTGTTCTTTTCGAACATTCAGCAATCAATACAGTACTACATCCAGCGTCACTATCAATGCTATCAGTGAGAAATCGTAATGTGCATAATGTCATTCGACACCACAGCCGACATTGTCCATTGGGGCAATCTTGTCAATCATACACGCAAATGATACCTCGGTCACTCTCCTTCATCCGTGGTTTCGCCTGATGTTGATTCGGCTCCTGCATTGCCATCACCAGCACTGGGAAAGAACCAAACTGTCAGCTGTTCCATCTGATCCTCCACTGTCTCTCGCACCACTTCATCCGTGAATCGCTCCAAATACTCCCATATTTCATCCAACTGTCCATGCAGTGCTCGCTATAACATAGATACAGTCCAAAGGTTAGACACAACCCCTGGTTGAGCTGAATGACGATCCTCACATCAGTGCTCTTGTTAGCTCTAATTGAGCTCATTCGTGCTTCAAAATCTGCGGGCTGATGCCGCTTTGTCCATTTCAAATCCTCGTGCAGGGACGCGACCTGAGTGGTGACAACCTAATCGGTACGTTAGCGCGAGTAGGCCGATTCAACCTCGAGTTGACATCTAACCTCTTCTGTTGCCTCATCATCATCCCGGATTTTGATGACAATCTCTTCCACCCTCAGAAGGCATTGCCCCAAAGTTCCCCATGCGCGAACTCGATCACTCCTCTGTTGCTCCTGTGCGTCTTCATCATCTTGTCCTTCTTTACTGCTCTGGGCCTGTCGCTTAGGTTTCACTGATTGACTTTGGACTGTGCGTCTTTTCTGGACAGTGGGCAGATAGTTGAATAACGTGTCAAGGTGCATGGTCGAGCGGCTCTTGCGGTGAGAGCGGAGCTTCTCTCGGTGGAGCTGATCCTGCTCGTCGTGAGAATTCTCTGTGTCCTGTCGGTCTCATGAGATGATTCTCTCGCTATTTGGACTTATTGACGTACACTGGAATAGGATGTTTCACTGGTGGACTCCCTGTTCTCATACAGCTGGTTGGTATGTTGTTGAGCATCATTGGATGGAATGGGCTCATTGTCAGAGTCACTGTGCTCAGTGCTGGTTCTGGCATCAGGGGCGTCGGCCGATTGATATGCGTGATCGGGATTGACTGCTAAGTGTGATAGCTCAATGAACGTTGGTTGCTCGTAATTAAAGTTGGCACTCACGATCGGCAGGCTCATCCACATCATGGGTGCTTGATGGAAATGGTGCAGTCGGTGACATCAGTTGGCGACCATTGCCTCTGTGGCCTAAATGGGGAGGCCCTCGCTTCAGGAGCAGCATTTCCGCCTGAAGCACCTGTGCAGAGACAATGAGGCCGTGATGAGTGTTTCCCATCTGTTGAAACGTGTACTTACATCGTCTGATTCTTCGTCTCCACCGTCATCTTGTGGCGTGGCCTAAAAAATGAAGGACTTTAGGATAATCTGCTCACAGACTTTTCCGCACAACAACCATGCGAGCACTTACCTGATCATTCCGTAGCTGGCATCCGAAGTGTTTCAGGATCTCCTCCTCTTCCGACTTGCCTTGCATATTTCCAAGGAACGGATTCTCCGCTGCATCTTCCAAGACTGAAAATGCACCAGTTGGTAAGTGATGATCAGTCAGGTCAAGCACGAACCAACCTTGAGGATGATGCACGTGCTGATGGTCAAGCCCCAAATCATCATGGTGTCCCAAATGGTCGGTGTTCTGGTTAAGAAGTCGATTTATGCGCAAGAGTCGTCAGTGGTTTAACCGGGAGACCCAGTCTTGGCGGAATGCGTGTATGTTTGGGCGTACTTCATCAGTTAAGCCAATGGCACTGCCGTCCGGGAACTCCATAGACTGTGCGGCATCATACAAAGTGGCGGCTGTGTCCTGTGTCAGATCATGTACCTGCGAAGACTCTGCAATGTGGAAGGCTTGAAGCCTGGTCTGCAACACGGTGATGCTGGCGTCACTGCTTCCATCATAATCAGCTTTGGCTCTGCTCTGATAGGTCATGGTTTCACGAGATGGAACGGGACCAAGGATAGCTGGCGCAATCGAGACTATGGGGGCATCAACGTCGTGAGTGTCGGCCTGTTCTGTCTGTAACCACTCATGTGGGTCTAGGGCTACGTTAGTATTCCGAGGTTAGTAAATGGTATAGACAGGATATGTGCTGTGATGGACTCACCCTGGCCCACTCCAATTACACCTGAGTGTGTACCACTTGCGTATGTGTTTTTTAGCCCGGCAGGCATCAAACGTTCCAGATTATCTCTTGGTTTGGCTGCAGCAAACCATATTTGAGTCACCTGCGCAGTGACACCCCATTGACCACGACTGGACTGACCTTGTTTGACTTGTCGACATTTTCGATCTATAAACCGGGTCAGCATGAACTGAGACGGGGGACACTGGAGAGAAAGCATTGGATTGGTTTCTACATGCACTCCAAGTACATTCAACCACAACATCAATGATGAACCTATTCTGTACCTTTCTCGGCCTTTTCTACACGCTCAAGGACAAGTTGCTCCCGATGCTCCTTATCTGCTTCATCTTTCTCAGTCTCAACAATGGATGTAGTTAGCTTGGCAGTGAGATCAAATTGGAATGTATTGAGTTTACCTTCTGTGGCCTTGCAGCCGCCAGGTCTGCATGTGAAACACAGCGGTGAATTCAGACACTGCTACAGTAGACATATGGCAATATACGCACTGAGATTGTAAGAGGACTTCGTTTGCAGCAGGGCTTGGGCCTTACGGTGGTCTTTGATGCAGGTCATCTTTTCTTCCTCAGTAGGTTGCCACTTAGGCAGCTGTAAAAAGTCATGGGTAGGAATAACTAGGT